TGTGTGTGTGTGTGTGTGTGTGTGTGTGTGTTAATCTATCTTGTTGAGAGTCTTCCTCTCTTCCTCTGACCCGCTACTTTTCCTTAGCATGACCCCTTTGTCTAAAAACTGGTCCCTCCTGATAGCATGCCCAAAGTACGTGAGACAAAGTTTCACCATCTTTGTCTCTAACAAGAATCCGGTTGCACTTCAGACTTGGTTTTTTGACAGTCCATGGGACATTTAGTACTCTTCTCTAACACCACAATTCAAAGGCATTGATTCCTCTGTCCTCCTTATTTATTTTCTAACTCTCACATACATAGGAAGCAATTGAAAATACTATACTAGGAGCACCTTAGGTGCCAAAGACTAGGTGCACCTTAGTCTTTAAACTGTCAGCTTAAAGACTTTAAACTGACTGAGATGGGTTTCCCCTTCACCCCTTTTACAGGTCTTACTTTCTAGGAGAATGTGTGTATAGCTAAGGAGTTCCTTGGTGGTGCAGAAGGATGTGATCAATGACTAATCAAAAAGGTTAGCTGTTCAAATCCACTCTGAGGCACTTCAGGAGAAAGGCTTGGTCATCTAAAAGAAAAAAAGTCAGTCATTGAAAATCATGTGGTGCACACTTCTACCCTGGGGTCAAAATGGACCTGATGTCAATTTAATACTTCTTTCTTCCATCTCCTCTGTCCTGGGACTCGGGGACTTGGGTACACACAGTGCGTGGAGGCTGTGGAGCTGTGGCAAGGCACTGCTCTAACTTTCCCCTTTCTTTATCTAATAAAGTAGGGTAGTACAAGCTGGGAGTTGGGAGGCCGAGCATGCTAAAATACCACTTTTCTTTACTCTAGAGTAATTCCAAACGTTCATATATTCACCACTGGCTTGCATATTGTTCTGTGTGGCATTACACACTGGGTTTCTTTGCAAATATTTACAGAAACTGGAGTTCAGAGTAAATTGTGACTGTGCTTAACACAAATACTGCCCGAGACAAGCTCAGTGCAGACAAATAAGGAACGAGGACTGTCCTTGGCTTGGAGAAGTGCAGTGATGCTTCAGAAATACTCAAACTTCCTTCTTAGAAATGATCTTTTTGAGGCTCTGACATAACTGATGCCTATAAATAATTGGAGCCGTCAGTGGCGTTCATGTGGTTTATGTTGAAAAACACAAAGCAGGCTCTTCAGTGCAAGCACAATATATGTGAAGCGGGGAGAAGGGTCTAGGTTTAACGAAGCTTTACCTAATAATCCCTACAGACCTAGGCATGTGAAGAGGGGCCCCCCATTTGAAAGAGCTTGGGGGGGCCTTCCAGTCCTTGGCTGCCCTAGTCTTTCTGGGGTTTGAAGGACGGAATCAGGGTTTCCGGAGGGGGTGGTATCACTTTCCAATAAACAAGGTCCTTGTTCTGTAGTCTGAGATCCCATTTCAGGAGGACAGCATGTTCACACGGGTCTGCATTTACGAAAACTCTATTAAAGCACTTTCTGTTTCTATTGTTAAGGCCAGGCTGATGTTTTTCATTTTTCTGTGGCCTCTCAGCCTGCAAAACAGATAAAAACAGCAGAGCGGAGCTGTCTGGGGGATGGTGCTGGTTCCTGGTCAGCGTCCTGGGCTTGGATGCCATGGCTCTGCCCTCTCAGGGCCTCTTCTCTACACGACTCCAGGGGTCACTACTCACAATGCAATGAGAAGTGGGCTTCTGAGAGTTTGGCAACAGAGGGGTGCACTTCTCTTCTACCTTCACTCTTCCCCCAGCCTGTTTCTGTTGGCTGCCTCCCTGTAGTCCCTGGAGCACAATGTGAAAAGAATTAACTGGCCAAACTATCTCCCTCTCATCTGAGAGTGGCAGGCTTTTCACCTGGTTGCTGGAACAATTAGTTCCTTGGGGGGCGAGGGAGGGGAGGTTCTTTGCATAGAATCAGATTTTCTGATCTCCATCCTTAAACACATTACCAGGGCAGATTCCAGACAAGCCTCGAAGGCCCCTGGCTAAGCAGAAAGTGATGGCTGCCTCTGGTGTGGGTGGGAGGGTTGGAGTTTGGGGTGATGCAAACGGTTACACTAGAAGGTTGGAGGTTCAGGTCTACCCTGAGGTGCCTCAGAAGAAAAGCCTGGCGATCTACTTGTGAAAAATCAGCCACTGAAAACCCTGGGGAGCAAGTTTGACTCTGATACCCTTCCAGATGCCTATAAGAAGGTTGAAGGTTCTGAGTACAGTACACGGTTAATGTTCTTGGCTTCTAACTGAAGGGTGAGCAGTTTGAGACCCCTGTGCCCTCCCCCCCCCCTCCCAGAGGTCCCTGGGTACAAAGTACTGGAGATCTACTTCCGGAAGCACAGCCACAGGAATCCTGTGGCACACAGTTTGCAGTTTGACTCTTGCACACTTGGCCTTGGAATTGACTCACTGGCAACATCAAGGAGGTGGTTAGAAGACCAGGGGATGCTGCTTTCTTTTCACATTGATTCCTGGCTCCCCCATGCTGGCAGCGAGCTCACAAGGCGCCCTGTGCCCTCTGACTTTGCCACATCGGTCCTGGGCCTGAAACTCTGGAGCAGCTTTGGGAATGCAGGAGGTGAGGGAGGAGTGGTGAGGAGCGTGATGGGGTCAGGGTGAAGTGGGCATGTGCGACAACCGTGCGCCTGTGATTTATGGTGACCTCTATTTGGAAAACGGAGTTGTAGTTTATGGGGGTGACTTAAGCACTTTCATGTTTGTTAAACTGAGGAGTACAGTCATCTTACAGGAAGCAGTGGATTGGGGAAGGATTGACTGTGTCAGGGGTTAAAGTTCCTGCCCAGAGGCCAAATAAAAGGCAAAACTCCTGAGCTTTTGTCACCCAGATTCAAACTGTACCCCATGGCAGGACAACTTAATGCTACATTATACACTACTGTGATCTTGTGCTAGTATTTCAGGGTCCCTGCGGAGTTGGGCTGCAACCCAAAAGCACATGATTCAAATCCACCAGCTGCTCCATGGGAGAAAGATGGACAATCTCCTCTTGTGGCGTTAAACTGCCTATGAAAAGCTGCCAGAGGGTCAGCTTTTGAGTTGGTTCTGACTTGATGGTACATAACAACAATAATGCAGGATAGCTCTCTGGTGGCTTAGTGGGTAAGGAGTTGTGCTGCCAACCCAAGGGCAAGCAGTTGGAACCTACGAGCTGCTCCTTGATAGAGAGATGGACAGTCTCCTCCTGTGCAATTCACGGCCTCTGCAACACCCCTCACCCCACCCCCGGTGTGTGTGTGTGTGTGTGTGTGTGTGTGTGTGTGTGTAGGGGCTGGCAGCTCTGAGTTGGTCTGCTCGTTGGCAATGAGTGAGTGAGAATGCAGGGACAGGAGGCTCTATGCCACCACAGCTCCCTTGAGAAGTTGTCGGAAGTGAAACAGCCTCCGTTGCCCCCTGAATCTGTGGAAGCAGACTCTATGTGTTTGGGATCCTGATATCTGTGCTTTGGGCAGCCTGGGTGGCACAAAGAATTAAGTGTTTGGGTGCTAACAGGAAGGTCAGCATTTGGGGTCCATCCAGAGAGGCTTTGGAAAAAGGGCCTGGGGTCTGCTTCCAAGAGGTCATCCACCCAAACCAACCCACTGTGCCTGGGTTAGTGCCGACTCATAGTGACCCTCCATCCGGTTTCTGAGGCCGGAAATCCTTACTGGAGGAGACTGCATGTCATTCTTCCTCAGAGCGGCTGGTGGATTAGTACCGCTGACCTTTCAGGCACAATGCACAACGCACTGTACCACCAGAGCTCCTCTCTGAAAGATCACAGCTTTGAAAATCATGGAGTGTGGTTCCGCTCTGCAGTTCACAGGGGCCTCCAGGACTCAGAACCTGCCTGGCTGCCATTGTCAGTTCATCTGGGCTTTAACGAGCCTTCCAGGTTGTGTCCTTCTGTAAAGTTTTACAGCCTTGGACACCCGATGGAGGATTGTCGGGGTCAGAATCAGAATAGGTGGTCTTGGGGTTTTGTGAATGCATTCTCAAGTGCTGTTGATGCTGCTGTGGGGGTTAATTTTGAGAACTATTGACCTAGAAAACACACACACACACACACACACACACACACACGCGCGCGCGTGTCTGATCACATACATGATCTATAAGAAATCATCAATGACAGCTGTTCCTAGATTGCAGATCCCCGCAACAGCCCTCATCACGTGGGAAGAGGACCTGGTCACAAAGCAGCTTCAGGCCGGGGCCAGGCAGTCAGCTGCCTTTGATCTTGACTCTGGGCACAATTTGAAAGCACAGGGTGCTCAAGGCTCAAATACAGTAATGCTAAAATTCCAAAGCCTTATTGTCTTTTCATCTGCTGGCAGCACATAGGGAACACTATTTCGAGTGGGGAGTGGCCAGCTGTGGCCGAGGTGGGAGCCCAGGCTGGGGGATCTTGGAGAAGGCACCCACTCTGCTACTGACTTGCTGTGTGGTCCTGATAAGTTACAGCTGGCGTCTCCCCACCACAAAGTTCTCTTGTGCAGTTCTGTATTATAATAGCAGCTTGTCCTCCGCTCTGGTTAAGGCATTGTAGTGGAGAGAAAATGAGAGGCAGGACAAAGAACTGCTTTGGGTCATTAAAAACCCTCTACAAAAATAAAACAGGAGACCTGGGTGGGGCAGAGGGGTATGTGTGTGTGTGATGTGGAGTGTGATGGGAAATCTGATGCCACTCAAAGGCCTTTTGGAACAAAAAGTTGCTTTTCATGGAATGACTGATCACTGAGTACCTCCTAATAGCTAACTCATCTAGTTAGTGTCAACACATTAGATTTTCCAGTAATACAGCATTTTAGGTATGTCCCATTGCTCTTATGTAGGCACTGTTAGCCCAACTGTACATGAAATATCATTGCAAATATTTGTTCCTTAACCTGTGCCAGACACAGTTCTGAGCCTTTTACAGGTTGTTGTTAGATGCCTTTGAGTTGACCGTGACTCCTAGTGACTTATCTAAATCTCACCCTGTCCTGCACCATCCTCAAGATCTATCATGCTCAAGTCCATTGTTACAGTTACTGTGTCAATTAACTCCTTGAGAGTCTTCCTCTCTCTCTCTGGCCCTCCACCTCTCCCAACATGATGTCCGTTTTCAAGAGCTGGCCCCTTAAGATGATACGCCCAAAGCATGTGAGATGAAGTCTCAGCATCCTTGCCTCTGAGAAGCATCATGGTTGCACTTCCTCCAAGACAGACTTGTCAATATTCTCCTCCAACATCATAATTCAAAGGCATCAAGTCTTCTTATGTTATCCTTATTCATTTCTCAACATCAAAAAAAGAAAATTCTTACCACTGGACAAATAGGTAATATTACTACAGAGAAAAGATTGAAGTTATCAACAATTTCCCTTTACTTGGATCCACAGTCAACATACATGGTAACAACAGCAGTCAAGAAACCAGAAGACACTTTGCTTTGGGGAAATCTGCTGTCAAGGACAGCTGCAAACTGCTATAGAGCAAGGACATCAGTTCAAAGACAAAGGTGCACCTGAGTCAAGCCATTTTATAGGTAAGTATCTTATTTGAACTCTTAACAGGATGCAGTGAGTATTGGGATAGCAATCATCATGCTCCCTAAAACGTAGAGAGGTTGGACCACCAATAGTGGTATAACTAGGACTTGAACCTGGATCTCTTGTCTCTAAAGCAATTTGTCCTGCTTCTCTGTCTCTCCAGTATGTGCTAGAAAGCAGGGTTCCTCAGACTTAGTGCCCCTACCTTTGGGGAGTTAACTCAGCACTATTAATGTTTTGGGTCAAGATTATTCATTGTGGGGCTCTGTCTTGTGTATTGTATGTTTAGTGGCATCACTGTTTTCCAACCACTAAATGCCAATCCTTCCTCATCCTCTTAAGATAACTAAAAATGTCTCCAGACATGATCATACATTCCTGGGGGATGAAGTCAGCCCCAGTTTAGAACCATTGTGGTAAAGGATCCCTGTTGTCCTTCTCATGGACCTTGGCGTTTTTAAGAAATATGTCAAGAGGCAGTTCTGGTGTGACCGGAACTTAGTCTTGATCACTCACCGTTTGATAGGCTTGAAAGGTGGCTCGGAGCTGCTTGAGGCTCCTCTTGGCCAGGACTTCATTGAAGGCAAGCTCATCAGTGCCCCAACGGCCTTCCCCTGCCTTGAGGAACAAATGTAAGCATGTTGGAAAAATCTTTTGAAAAATGATTGAACTGTATTTCCCCATTGCACCTCACTATGTTGTTGTTGTTATGTGCCATCGAGTCGTAGGTGATTCATAATGACCCTATGAACGAAGTACCTGAACACCTGTATAACTTCCATCCTTTCTCCAGGTCCATAGGGTTTTCAGAGGCAAGCTATTTCGGAAGTGGATGCCACTCCTGCTTCCAAGCTTGTTTTAATCGGGGAGCTCCACCAAACACTGTCCACCAAGGGTAACCACTATAGCATTTGACACATCAGTGTCACAGTGTTTAGCATCACAGCAACCATGAGTTACCTCTGTACGGCAAGTGGACAGATCAGGGCTATACAACCTAGAAGGATGTTTGACCAAAACCAATTAAGAACAGGCCTGAGGGCTGTGGATTAAAGTCATCCACCTTTGGCTTGGTAGCATCACTTTTTGTCCACTAGGCCAACTGAGCTTTCTCCATGTTGTTGTTGGTAAGTGCCATTGAGTTGTAGGCAACTCATAGCAACCCTATGAATGAAAGACCTGAACAACTTATATAACTTTCATCCTTTCTCCAGGTTCATAGGGTTTCCAGAGGCAAGCTATTTCGGAAGTGGATGCCACTCCTGAGTCAAGTGATATACAAATGCCAATACATTGTCCTAATTACTGTAACTTTGTAGTAAGTTTTGATACTCAAACGCATTGCTTTTGAATCAGAACCGAGTCCTGGTTGACCTTCCAGCAGGTTTTCGGAGTCTGTAGATCACATGGGAGTATAGGAAACTATAAAATACATGTGAACTAGAAGACAAATGGGAAGCTCTGGTGGCTTAGTGGTAATGAGTGGCTCTGCCAACCTAAAGGCAAGCAGTTCGAATCCACCAGCTGCTCTGCAGGAGAAAGATGGTCAGTCTCCTATTGCCTCTGAAAATCTGCTGGAGGGTCAACTATGAGTCAGTTCTGACTCAATGGTACACAACAGCAACAACATATATATGAAATACTTCAAAGAGCTAAGCCTTTCTTTGCTTCTAAAAGATCATTCTTCTTTCCCAGCAAACCTCCTCCACGTGAAGGCAAAAGAAAACTTGTTGAGAATAATGCTGATAAGATAACAATGGCAATGACAAGCGCTCACTGGGACTGGCACTCCCACTTACATCATACAGATCTTTGGCATCCTGGCCAGCGAGCTCTTTGTCAACGTCATTGCCTTCATCACGATTAGCCTAGAAAAAAAAATCCACATGTAGTTATTTGCTTGAGTTGCTGCTTGACCACAAAAAAGAAAAAGAGAAAGTGGCAGAAGCCTGGGGTAACTTGAGAGAGGTGGCCTGGAGCGTCGTGCAACCTGGCGAGCAATGCCTGCTCTTTGCTGCCCTCTTTTGGGCAAAGTGTAAACAGAAGTGTCCTGCCCGTGAACACTTTCTCTTTTTTTTTTTTTTTGGTAGAAACCAAGGTCATTCACTAGAGTGTAGAAACCTGGTGATGTTCTCCTAGGGTGAGATCACTGAAGACCCATTAATCCTCCTTCTAAAATAGTGGTTTCTTCGCCCAGGCTCCTCCTGCAGAAGAACGGGGACAGTCGTGCAGAGCTCTCTCTCTTGGTGTCTCATCTGAACCCTTGGGAGGTCAGACTAGAAAATGATTCCCCCCAGTGGCCTGCATTTTGTATAATCTCTTTCCCTTGAGTGGGAGCTACAATAGCAAAAATGATAGGGATTACTTTTATGAAATATTATATTGCAAAAGAGATTTTTGCAGATGTAATTAAGATCTCTAGCTAACTAAAAGACTATGTGTCTCCAGTAGTTTGAATCCACCAGAGGCTCTGAGGTAGAAGGAAGGTCAGTCCTTTGTTGAGAATTATAGCTTTGGAAGCCCATTCATTCAAGGGCTCCTGGGTTGAAATCTATTTAACAGCAGTGGGTGGGCGGTATTAAAGGCCTTAATTAGTCAACTTAACTGAAGTGTTTCTTTTGGGTGGGCCTGATCTAATCAGAGAAGTTAGTGAAAGAAGCAGATGGGAAAAGCCAGTGAGATGAGCTTCTTGTGAGTTTGAAAGAAACCAAAGATCTTTGTGAACCGATGGTGATCTCTGGTTGACAGCTAGCATGAGAGCAAGGCCTTCAGCCCTCAGGAAGGAAATGAATATGTCAACACCACCAGTGAGCTTGGAAGGAGGCTGAGCCTGGGATGAAAATTTCGGTCCTGGCCAGCACCTAGATTCCATCCTGTGTTGTGAGACCCTAAGCAATAAAATCCCGCTGACCTGCACCTAGACCAGGACCCGTGGAAGCTCTGTGATCATCTGTCTGGGCTGTTGTAAGGCTCTGGGTTTGTGGGATTTGTTACTCTCAGCGAAAGCCAACATCCCCATCCTGCTGCAGTGGAAGCCTTGTCTCTTGTTCTGTGCTGCGAGCGTGGCCACATTGGGAGGAATGAAGCAGAGGAAACACACAAAGCTCTTGAAGATGGTGTGTTTATGAGTGCACAAGTGCTGTCCCAGGTGCTGTCCAGCTAGGGACCAGGGTTGGCGTCCTACCAGGGCCAATCCCAAATGCCCTGATCTCCTGGTGAGGATTCTGCATTTACCCAGAGAAACCGGGAGGTGAGAGTTGTATTGTGAAAGGTCGCCTTTGGCATTGAAAGAGCTGGTTTTGGCTCCTGAGCTGTGTGAACCTGGGATAGTTACTCACTCTCTCTGGACCTCAGTTTGCTATTGGCAAACTGGTTGGTGATGCTCAGTGAGACACTTCATTAACAAAAAGAGATTATAAATTGCAAACTACCTCGCAGATTATTACTATAGATGAAATCCTAATAAGGTAACCTCGCCATAGCTGGACTGTTGGAACATGGGGGAATGATCCTTCAACATGCTTAATAAAGATGGAAATACATGCTTTGCCATTCCCATCATGGCGCCATGAAGCGGTGAGACCACCTGACTCTTACCTGTAACAGGGCCACCAGGATCTTTCGCAGGCTCCCACTTGTATCATCCTTGACATCTGACTCAAGGCTCCTGTCAAATACTTCCAAGGAAGGAAAACGGAGGAGAGAAAGCTAAACCTTTCTTTTCCCAGAGGTATTATTCATTTATTTTTATAAATATAGATATAATAAATAACTTGCATTTTTAGTATTCTTCAACATGGTGATGTTAGTTACAGGTATCGAGCTGTTCAACCATTGCCATCCTCTATTTCTACATTCTCCCCTCCCTCGTCACAGAGTGGCCCCCCGAAGCAATGACTCTTCCCTCCCCCGCCCTCCAGCCACGCACCCTGGTCCCCACTAGTCAGCTTTGAGAGATGAATGTTCCCTCTTTATCTAGAGTCAGAACAAAAGGTCACTTACACCTTTGGTAGGCCTCCTTAATGGCCACAATTTCCTAGGGAAGGAAATAAAAAGAAATCAGTACTCAAGGGTGGAGTTAATCAATAAGTGGCACATGGTAAAGGCAGGACTATCTCTGGGGACGGGGTGCCTTCCTGACTGGCCTCTAAGGGGGCCCTTCCCTGGAGGACCAGGCTGGGCCTGGAGCCATCCCTGGAGATATGAAGGTTTTTCTACAAAGAAAGGTTTCTGCAAACCTTTCTACAAAGGTTTCAACTCACCCAATGTCTGATACATGCATTCTCCTTATTTAAAAATAGAAACATTACCACTCACCTAACACCTCCTTCCTCCCCACCTGCCTCACCATCCTGCACCTGTCTCCAGGTGGACAGTGATGGGGGTTCAGTGGAAATCTTCTCAAGTAAATAGGGCTTTGCATTTGAATAAACGTAAAAGCAAAATTAGTATGCTTCATTTCATGGAACTTTGGAGATACTGCTGCTTTTTTTTTTCTTTTAAATTATAGATTCATAAGAAGTTCTGGTGGCCTAGTGGAGCTAAGCTACTAACCCAAAGGCACATGGTTCGAATCCACCAGCTGTTCTGAGGAAGAAAGATCTCTTCCTGTACCATTTACTGCCTCTGACAACCTGCCGGAGGGGCAGCTATGAGTTGATTCTGACTCGATGGAACATAACAACATAACTGGTGGCACAGTGTGTGATGGCTGTGTAGTGCTGCTAAATAATGGGTGACCTCTTCCAACCCAGCAGCTTCTCCACAGGAGAAAGACGGGTTCTCTCCTCCGTAAGACTCTATAACCTTGGAAACTGGATCAAAACTCAACTCATTAACTTCAAGTCAGATCTCTCTCAGAATGACCTTCCCTTGGGTTTCTGAGGCTGTAAATCTAAATGGGGAGGGACTCCCCATCTTTCTCCCTGGGGCCACTGGTGGACCCAAACCCCTAGAGACGCAGCCTTTGGGTTCACGGTGCGGCTCGTCTCAGACTGCGCCAGTGGAGAGGGGTTTTTTAGCAATTCTGTGCCAACCAAGTCCTACAGCACCATTTGCTCAACACGACATGCTCACTTCATGTCTCTGTGTCGCGTTTTGGTAGTTCTGAAAGCATTCCAAACTTCTTCATAAAACACAACAAGCTACAATCTAATCAGGAATCCAATGTAAACAGGAAGCTCTGGTGGCTTTGTGGTAAGGAATTGTGCTGCCAACATAAAGGTCCTTGGTTCAAATTCAACAACTGCTAGCTCCGTGGGGGAATGATGGGCAATCTCCCCACACCCCCACCCCTGTACAGTTTACTGCCTCTGAAAACTGGCTCGAGAGTCACCTATGGGTTGGTTCTGACTTGACGTTCACAACAACAACAACAGTGAAAGATTAAAAAAAAAAAAATCCAAACACCCTACCCCCCAACGGTGTAAACACTGACTTTTTTATGAGCAGGGAACAAATGAAACCAGGAGTCTTGCTGTAGTATAGCACTTGCTTTACGATTGTGGTCTGGCACCAAACATGTAAGATCTCTGAGCTCTACCTGTAAACACGTGACTGAAGACGTCGCGAGTGGCCCAGTGCCCGAGTTCGGTGTTTACAAAATGGAATGCTGTACAGATTGTTTCGTGACATATGATTTTTTCACTCAGTAATATATTTAACAACAATAACAACAACAACAACAACAACATATTTTGGAGATCCAGCTAGGCTTGTGAAGAGTCACGTAGGGGTGGGGTTTAACTGACAGAAAATATTCTATCTGCAGTCAGCCTCAGTTTATTCCGTCTTCATGACGTTGGGCATTTAGGTTGCTTTCCATTTTTCTCCAGATCAAACAAAGCTGCTTGCAGCAAACAGCCTGCTTCTGCAAGGCTCAAAGCTTCTCTCTTCGGTTTAATATTTTTGTCTCAAAACTAACTCATCGCCGTTGTGTAGGAACTGACTCATAGCTGTCCCTCAGTGGGTTTTGGGAGGTGATAAGTCACGTGGGAAAAGATTGCACTTCTTTTTCTTGCCTTCAGGTTACTCGAGCAGCTTCCAACCACTGAGCCACTAGAGCTCACTGTGGTAGTGGCTGCTAAGTTTTCTTCCAGTTCATGGTAACTGATTTACAGTGCAGCAAAACGCTGCAAGGCCCTGTGATGATAAGACCTTCGTGAAGCACAGGATTTTCATTGCCTGATTTCCAGAAGTAGTTTGCCAGGCCAGCCAGTCTGCCTCCTTCCCTCCCTCCCCTCCCTTCCTCCCTCCCTCTTTCCTTTCCTTTCCTTTCCTTTCCTTTCCTTTCCTTTCCTTTCCTTTCCTT